AGAAAGATGAATAATTTTATCGAGTGCATACGTAATTACACATGAACATTATTTATCCTTTAAAAATGTTCAATCGCTTTATTCTTTCGTCTTAGTAAAATGCTGCACAAAATAAAAAGCTTGAATACACATAACAAAAATATAAAACTATATAGAAGCTTAGCAAGTTTAAAATAAAAATGAATAATATATCAATATTAGAATTTTCCAAAAATTAAAACGTGATTGTTTCAACACCAGATGTGGTCTGTTGAATAGCAGCAAAAGCAGTTTTAAGTACCACTTTGCTAGAGAAGAGAACATTTGTTTTTTATTAAGAAAGTATCAGATAAATATTCAGTTACTTACATTGTTCCATCTGATTTTTCATCAAACATTTTATAAGCTTCATCAGCTAAAACAAATAATTAATATTGAAGTATAGATATATAAACAAAATAGAATCAACCTCGTGATAATTCCATTGTATGTGTAATAATAAAAGTTGGATCAACTTCCTAAAAATTGAAGAGAATGAAGTTTTTTTTTCTGATCAGTAATACCTAATTGTGAAGAAATAGCTTACTCCATTTTCAATAATCTTGAGGAGATCATGCCAGTAACTTTGACAGTATAATTGACCACCTCGCATTGTCACAGCTAAGAGAGACAATATATTATAGATAGAATTTTTCTTTCATTTTTAATCGAGAATTATAAAAAAAACATACCTTTTTCCATGAAAGCACCTAAAGAATAAAAAAAAAAAACTATTTTTTTTTAGAAATTTCACAAAAAATATTCTTACCAATGGGAAACATATTAGCTGTTAAAAAGCTGGAAAGAAAAACATGAGGTATTGTTTGATCAAAATTGAATAAAGATCATGCATTATGATAATAACTTACTAATCTCCAATGACAGCGATAGTTCCACCTTTTCGAACAACAGTAACTGCTTCGCCTAATATTTCAGGAGTATCCGTTTCAAGAAAAACAGCACGTTGAATTTTATGGACCAAACCTATGATTAAAAAAAAAGAATACACCAGATTTTCTGTAAAAGATAATTTCATAAAATTAAACTATTGATAAGATTTTCATTTCTCGTTCTATTTGGGATCCATATAGAAAAAAATCTTACCTTTCGTATAACGAAAACCGACTGCATCGATACATACATCAGGACCGCCTGTAAAAAAAATTATTGTAGTATTCACATAATAAATATTAAGAATCTTACCTGGTAACATCTTTTGCATAGTATCAATGACATCGACTTTAGAAAAGTCAATTGTTTCAGCACCTTGTGATCGAGCTTTAGCTAAACGTTCTTCAATACAATCAATTGAAAAGATTCGTTTTGCACCTCTATATTTAGCCCACATAACGGATAACAAACCAACAGGACCTGCACCCCTATATAGCAAGAAGATACACTAACTTAATTACTCATTTAAATAATAATTCATTCTTGAGATTAAGATGAATTCATCATAAATTTAAACTTATACGACTTAGAGACAAAAAAAAAATAATCGATTAAACTGTATTTCAAAATGTTCGGAGTTATAATAAAAATATAGTGTAAATTCATTATCAATAGTATAGTATAACTCACCAAATAGCTACTGTTGTTCCTGGACCGACTCCTCCCATGACATTTGCATGCCAGGCTGTAATATTTACAAATGATATTATTTATATTTTGAAATAATACAACAAAAGAACATAACTAACCAGTACAAACAACATCACTAAGAAACAAAACTTGTTCATCAGTTAATCGATTATTTTCAATCTTTAGCAAATTGACATCAGCAAATGGAACACGAACCCATTCAGCTTGACATCCATCATAACCTCCTGAAGTTAAAATTGGAAATTTTAATTAACTAGTCATGATTTTTTTCAAATAGCACCTGTCAAATGAGAATAACCAAATGCTCCACAAATTCGATGACCATAGAGTTTTTCCATTACTTTGGAGTCATTTGTAACATCACATAATGAGAACATACCAGTCTTACAATCTAAAGAAAGGACAAAGTATTAAAAAAAATCAATTAATCGATACAAGAATGTGCTGTAATGTTCTTATGGATATGACTTAAAATGACTTACATTCACATTGTCCACAAGCAATGGGTGCACTGATAACAACACGATCGCCAACTTTTATATTTTTAACATTGCTGCCAACGCTTTCGACAATACCCATACCTTTTAACAAAAAAATTCATAGTATAAAAACGAACAATTAATACTAAAAAACTTACATTCATGACCAATAATATCTTTTGCTTTCATACCTTTCATATCTCCGTTATCTAAGTGAAAAATTAGAATAAACATGATTTAAGAAAAGCACATTATTTAGTTTCTTACACATATGTAAATCACTTCCACAAATTGTTGATGATGTTACATGAATAATGGCATCTGTATCATCGGTTATTATGGGTCGAGGTCGTTGACTTACTCGAACATCTTTTTTGCCCTAAAAAATCGTATAGAATTCTTTTTAAATATGAAAAACTCTACATAGTGTTGTATTAAAAAAAAGCTTACATGCCATTCAATTACAGTTGACATTAAATTTGAATCATATTTAGGTGAAATAGTTGGTGGTGTAATCGGAGACTTTTGAACTTCATCGCGAACAGATTCCATTGGATAAGTTGCGAACGAAGACACTATCATAAACAGTTGGTTAAATGAAATAACAGGTAATAGTTAGGAAATACTTACTAATATGTTGATGTCTCCATTTTTTATCAACACATTTCGATTGATCAAAGTTAACGAAATTCTTAGTGCTCATTTTGATTGTTCGAAACGAAATCTACAGTCGAACAAATATTAGTTAGTAGATAGTTTTTAATAATATGATAAAACAATGTTGAAGCAAATATTCTATTCTACTAGTATTGTTATGACAGAATTTATAGTATCTTATTAAATACGTAGAACATATTCTTTTCACCTTTCAAATACATTTTTTCTCCAAAAATTTTTAGTCATAATAATGATGGCAAAAAAAATTATAAATAGACCTTCTTGAAACTGCTCACCCCAGTAATATAAGGCAAGATTCGAACAGATAAAAATGATGAAGAAATTCGCGGTGATAGAGTCTCACATAAAAGTGATGTTAAAAATATCATCATTTGTGTTTTCTACTCTATGGCGAGAGGAGAGGCAATAAACATAACTCTTTTTTTTTGGTATGGTGAAGAACGAAAGAAAAAACGCACTCTTGTCAACACGTGTTCATTCACGTGACCTTTTTCTTCAGTGTATGTTTTGTTATGTTGAAAACTACATTTGTTTTTTGACTGGTTCATTGAAAAGCATGTTTTATCAATGCAAAGAACAATACTTTCACACGAAAACAAATAATATAGGAGAAGACTGAAAAGGAGACAGAAACCTACTGGAGATAAATTTGATTGCACATCATCATCATCAAGTACAGAATATTATTCGTTGTTTTTTGACACTACTATATACTATTAAGTTAAAAAGTTAACGCGTACATCTTTCATCCTTTTCTATCGATTTCTGACAAAGTTAATCTTTGTGCATTTTTCCATTTATACATATTACTACCTGTTTTTTTTCATGTAAACTTTTTATATAGATGAAATGTTCATTATAATGAGTTAATATCTTGTGTTTTCATCTTGTCTCAATCGAATGTATCCTTAGTCTTTCGTAATTGTATTTTCTAATAATTATTCAATAGACCCATATTCTTAGAGAGCTGTGTGACTACGTGTCATGATATTCGTTATAATAGAAAAAGCGCTTTCAATAAATCGGAACTAATGTTTGAAAATTATAATCAGTTATTAAAATAGTACTATCATGGAATGATTTGTCATATTAAGTATTCCATCATCTTATCGACATAAAAATTTCAAACTTTTATTCTACTTGAAAGTATATTTGTTTGCACATTTGTACGTGACTCGGACTTATCGACAACTCTTTTATTACTTAGAAGCGTAAAAGTCAAATAACTGTTCATTTTTAGAGAAGATAACAACTAATTATTGTTAAAATCATATACACATATTTGAAACTTTTTTCAACGCTTAGATCAAGTCTAGTTATCAGCATGCTTGCAATTTATTTGAAAGAGATAAACACTTAGGAGATACCAATAGTAGTGATGCCGACCCTGTAATATTTTACAGAAGGCTTCAGGAAATTTTTTCTCTATATATTCTGATAGCTCAAGTTGTGCTCTATAATTCTATGATATTTCATAAATCTTCAAACAATATATAATATTGAAAACAAAGCAAAAAAGCGAGTGGTTCACAAAAAAATTTTTTTGAAGCAAGTTTATCAAGCTTTTATTAGATCAAATGTTCAAAACAATCCTCCTGATTGTTTATACACGCCTCCATTCGTTGAATCCATTTATCAAAAATTTTTTTATACTCTTATTTTTTTAACGACTTCATAAATTTGATCACAACTTCATGGAACGATTCGGAATCATCTTGATCGCCTAGATTTTGTTTGATTAAATTAAACAATCAAAAATTGCATGGAGCCAGATTTGGAGAATTAGGTGGATATGGCATTATTGTTACGCCTTCCGATTGAAGATAATTGACTACATCGTCATGAATATGTGCTTTTCCATTATCACGATGAAGTTTAATTGATGGAATACCTAAGGAAGGCCGTTGGTTCTGAATTTCATCAATAACTGGTCGCAAACAATTATTGATGTAATATTGATGATCGATTGTTTGTCCACATTTAAAAGAATGAATCAAAACTGGACCAGTTGACTTGAAGAAAATAGTCAGAAGAGTTCTTGGAGCAAAATGACTACGTCGAACCACCGTTGGAGGATGATTTCCACTTGCTACCCAAGCAGCATTCGATGATTTTTCGACTGATTTGCTTGTGATAAAACTATGATTCGTTATCATTTACTACATCACATAATCTCCAAGCATCTTGTTCAAATTTTAACAAGTTTTCTTGACATATTCGTACTTATTCAGCCTTTTGAAAGCTCGTCAGATGTTTGAGAACATATCGTGCAATAATTTTTTTCAACTGCAAATGATCAGAAATAATTTGTTGGACGGTTTCATGTCTTATACCACTTTGTGCTTCAAGTTCCCCAACTGTAACATACGGATCATCATTAATAAGATCGCAAACTTGTCTAATATTTTTAGATGTTGTCTCCGTTATAGGTCTGCCAGGTCTTTCTTCATCTTCAACTTCTACTCGACCTTCACGAAACCATTTTGACCATGTTTGAACAGTTCTGAGAGAAGGAGCTTCATCACCAAAGACAGTACGTAATTCATTATGAATAACTATTGGTTCAATATGAAGTGCAGTACGCACTTTAATATAGAAACGAAAATATTCTTTATCCATTTGAAAAGAACTGAATACTTTTGATCGTTTTATGATCTATGTTGGAAACAATATGCTATATTGTCTTCAACCTATTATTCCTGTTCCCTTCTTTTTTTTCCTTTTAATTTCCTCCTCTCTTCTCTTTCTTTTCTCTATCTTTTTAACTTCTTTGATATTTATCTTCGTTTATACATGTGAAACATACGTGCTCTGTTTATTTTTTGTTTTATGTGTGTGGTAAGTTCTTGTCTATTGTCAAGGTGAAAATTTTTAAAAGCTGCAGAAAACTTAAGAGTATCAAAACTTTTGCTTATATGATATTACTTGAAGATTTATGAAATATCATAGAATTATAGAGTACGACTTGAGCTATCAAAATATACGGAGAAAAAAATTTCCTAAAGCCTTCTGTAAAATATTACAGGGTCGCGGCCACTACTTTTGGTATGCCCTAAGTAGTATAGAATTTGTTACTAGAACTCGATGATGTTGCTCGAAAAAATATCTAATCATCTAGGAAATAATTTCTAAATACTGATGAAACTTCATAGTCGAACTTTTAATAGACAAAATCGGATCGAAATCCACTGACATACTATTTGTACAATCTCATGTCGCATCGGTTATCACTGTTCAAGTCACCAGCAACAATAAATGAAGAAGTGAAAGCAAAATTCTCATGTGTCTTGTGACTGTTAAGTGTTCTGTTTCCATTTTCAAGAATCAAACCTACATTTTTCGTGCCGAAGTTAGCAACATCAATATCCGATAGATTGTCACCGTTGTAATCGGCGACCGCGACTGCGTACGAATGAAAATTAGAGCCCGTTACGAGCATGTTTTATTTTTCAAAATTGTTTTTACCCCACACAATCACACAAGAATGAATCCAATGTTATTAGTGCCGTACTTTGCAACAACAAGATCAAGTTGATCATCATTGTTTAAGTCAGCAGCACCAACACTTTTTAAACGGCAACCACTGTAAGGTACAAACATTCCTTTGTTCATAAGAGCTCCACTTGATATTCTAAGAAGTATAGTTACGTCGTTACTCTCTTCATTAGAGACGACGATATCTAGTAAAGCCTTCGACACATTAGAAGACTCCCCTAATAGAGGATCCCTCGAATAAACGACGCACAAGACAGATTAGAAGATTCCCCTGTAATAGTTGATTCGTTTAGTTTTACTATCATGTTTATACTTTTTATTTCTATATGTATATTTCTAATCTTCGCTTCAAAAATATTTTTCTGTTTCTTCTGACGTTCAAGGCGGTCTGTACTTGTATAATATAAAATGTAATTAACAGACTTATGTATATGGCATGCGAAAACCAATGCCCGTTATAATCAAGTTCAGTTTTTTTCATGTACATTCTTCTCTTTTCACTAAAAATCACTTTTATGATTGTTTCTATAACTGAATAAACATAGAACATCTCTTATGGACAATGATCTAAGTTCAAATTCTCATCTATTGTCATCAAATATTGATCATGATCATATTGATCAAGAATCTGATTCAGAAAGAGATGAACAAAATACAAGTTGAATAACGAAAACTCAATACAAATGGCTGATCTTGAAAGACATGCCGAAAAATTCAAAACTTAACTTTTTTCTATTTGATGGTATGAAATAACAGCATTTTATGAGTGAGTTCTTTTATCTTGTGAAAAATTGTCCTTCTATGAAATGTAAATTAATCGTACTTTGTCTGATTTAGTATATTTTATGATAAAGATAGTCGTTTTTGTGAAATATTCTCTAGTATAATAGAATATAGACTGTTTTTGTTAACTGTACTAGCGTAGAAAAATGAAATAAACGTTTAGTAATGACATAACCAGCATAAAAAGACTTTTATAAAAATTATATCGTTGAAGATGACAAAAAATATGATTTTTTTGGGGGGGGGGGGGGTCATAATAGAAGACCCTTTTTGCAACTTGTGAACGATAAGGCACAATAGAAGATCCAGAGTCTTCTAATAAGTCGACAACTTTCTAGTATCCTTGTTCAAATCATTAACATCTGCAAAGAAAGGCACAATGCAAATTGTAATTATCATTTGGTTTGAAAAAGAGCCGTTTCCATATCCGAAAAGTACATTTGCACTATTACTGACATATTAACGACGACGATATCTATTAGAGTGTCATTATTGAAATCGCCAAGAGTAACAAATAGTACAACATGTCTTTTCAATGTCTGTTATATTCAGATATAGATGATACTGATAACAGCATTGTATCTTTAAATCAAGTCTAAGTGCAAGAATTATGATCGCCAATCATTTTTAAAGTATGCCATGTTAACAATAGATTTGTACTTTATTTGTTATAAAAATAATTCCGTCATCACAGAATTAAGAAATGATCTGATATTGTTCAAAACTGAACAATTTTTGTGTAGAAAGTTTATTAGTATGTCGCTTTGTTTCATAGTAAAATGCTAAACTCTCCGCATCGCTTTAAAAAAACTTTCAGTTTTTGAAATTCTGTAACGGTCGATATTTTCTGAATACCTCAGCTCAAGCTAAAGGAAGATCAATGAAACTTTTACTGGTAGTAGATCTAAATGATCTCTTCCTATAATAAAAGTTTCAAGGAATTTGCTTCCACTATTAACGAAAAAATAAATGTAACAATGTAAAAAAAACTAAAAATTCGTGACACTTGGCCACACAGAGAACTCAAACGATTGATCATGAGCTATTCTGATTGTGAGTATTGAAAATTTGTTCTTAGTGTCGCGACATGTACTTTTTCTAGCTAATGCATTTACAAAAGATATAGAAGAAAATGTAAAGATAATAAAAATTTCATTGAAAAAAGATTAGTTTTCAACAGTCTTCTTGTTCTCTGGAGTTCATCTATGTATAAATATTGATATTCCGGCGTCTTTATCACTACTTATTGCTACTCTGCTTATTGGCTATTTTCTCTTTAATATTTTTAATTAATTCTTCTTGGTTGCCTGTAATAAATAAGCGTTGTTTCCAATCATTTATAGCCATCGATGGCGCCTCACTTTGCAAATGAGTCAGTAAACCAGATTTATCATGAGTAAAGACAAGAACTGGAACGTGACTTAAACTATTATCACTCAAGAAACGTAATAAATGCAATGGATTTTTATCTTCATCTTTATAATAACCACGACATATTATATGAAACGTTGATGATAATGTGATTTTATCCTTGTGTTTCAAAATATGAGCTTCTGCTCTTGGTAATGTTTCACAGAAGTCGATTTTAACATTTTTGTCATTTTTCAACCGTTTCTCTATATGACCGTTTTCACTGGTTTTTTTATCGATCCAAAGAATAAACAAAATTTGAACTTCGTTCTTCGGTGATACTGCCGTGTGATGTTCAACATTACTATTTACTGTCTTTGTCGTTTTCCATACGAAAGGAACTACTTGTCCATTTTGTGATATGCTAATAAAATAGTTAAAACTATCATTTAATTTCCAAAAAAACTTATAATCGAAGTTTTGATAAGGATAGTTTTGTGGAATATAACATCGCTTATTTTTATCAACATTCCAATCATATGGATTCAGAATACTTGTATCTCTCTGAAGAGAAGAGTCATCGCAGGCCACTTTTATGATATGTATATTGTAACAAAGTTGCATATTACACATATATTGATAAGGAATGTAACAGTAGCCCTTATCACCCTAAAAATAAATCAACATATTGTATATATTTAGATAGGAGTACATGTTATTAGATTTCATGTCATTTCTTGTCATTGCGATTCACCTATACAACTGCTGACATAAAGTGGAAAAAAACTTTTTTGGTAATAAAACCTCTGAATTTGTAAGGATACTCTATGCAAGTGTAGATAAAAAGGCTTTTTTCTCCAATAATCAACAATTTACGATATTTCTAATCTGCAAATATGTTATCTAGAAAGAATCGATCGAGATGAATACATGTTTGTGTATGAGAGCTTCGTTTAGTTTCCAAGGCTATTTATGGTTTATTGCAGAGTCATTCATCTGAATTTAATGATACATTCAGCTACACAGATAGTGTTCGACAACTACTATTTCAGATCAATGATTAGAGAAAATGCAGATGTGTCGATGAAAAATAGATTCGATACTCAATTTTGTATCAATACGTATGTTCAAATGAAAGAAACCAAACATGGAACAATTCAACTTCTTTTGCGTTTCTTTCAGTGTGACCTCTAAGAGAATGTTTCTTTGTCTTATATCTACAGTGAACAAGAAAGACTTATGCGATCTAGTCTTGCTTTGCAGAGAACAAAGATAGAAAATTTCTTGAATTTGTCCTTCTAATTCAACCCTCATATGACTTTTTTTATGAGGAAACCTAACATATCTTCGATCAATGATTCATATTAAGCTAATGTTAAAAGCTGATGAATGTCAATACACATTCCTAAAAATCCTAGAAATCAGTATCAAACTTACCCACTTTTCACCCCATGAATTTCTAACAATGAAACATCCTGATAGATCACTATATCCCACTGCCAACATCGCGTGGCAACCTTGTTCAGCACTTTGTGATTCATAATGTATGTTTGGCATTTGTACACGTCCTCCATTACTTCCAGCTTGCGCAAAGGATGGAAATAATCGAAGACCAAATGCAAATGGATACGCCTCAGCCAGGCATCCTCTCATTTCATTTAATTCTACACGTGCCGTCATGGCTTCCATGATACGATGTTTTTCAGCTTCTAAATAACACTGCGGTGGTGGCTTTAGGTTGACGTTTGCAGGATTGTATGGGTACATTTCTTCTTTGCAACAGCCGTAATCTATCAATCCTTGAACAGCACTCGCAATATGAGTACCTTTATCTATCATCTTATTCTCTTGAAGCTTATCTATAATACGGGCGTTGTAGTATATAAATAAACGACTAACATTAACCTTTTTTCTGCTATTTTTCATTATTAAAAATTCATGTGCGCCTATAATGCTATTTGTGAATTGTTGATGAATAATCACAATGACACTTTACCTGCTAGTACGTTTCCAATACTAAAATGAAAAAGTATTACACAAAACTCAGTCAAATAAATATATATGAATCAAAAGCAGTTGTAGGATGAAATAAAACATTTTGTTGCATATCAATAGCATTACTAAGAATGTTTGATTTTGAATGATATTTTCGGATCTAAACAAAAAACTCAAGAAATACTAACCATGAATTGAGATTGTCTTGATGCTCAACGGGCGACATAAACTGTCTTAGATCAACTGATGAAGGTAATTCCAAATTTGAAAGGCATCGGGCACCTCCAAATCTCGGTAGATTCGATGGTTTGTCACTGATTAAGCAGCCTCCAAGACGAAAACGATCTCCTGTTTCCGGATCAACTAAATATTTATCTTCTGCCATAAGAATGAAATTTGTTTTTGATAATCTATAGCAAGAAATAAAAGAAATATTTAATCTAATTTTCTAGAGAATGAATACTCTTTTGTAACTATTTCCACTAAGTAATGAGAAGAAGAAAAACACATGTAGTAAAGATTTGTACGATTTATCATGATGTTAAAAAGTTTTCATCATATTATTATTCTGAAATCGATGATTATATATTCATGTGTAAGTAACTACTTAGTTCAGAATTCAAAGTTATGACATTTTGATCAAAGTAAATGTACATGATGTAGAAGACTCATTTTCAGTACAGTTTTGGAATAACATTTGTTTGTAAATATTAATTTAATGAGTACAATTCTCAATTTGATTGATTATATTGATACGTTGAAACCAAATAAAATAACAAAGAAATGCATCTTCAAGATGTTTCTCTCGTAACTTTTGCTTTTCAGTGGCACTTATATTTTGTTTCTAATCTATTCAATTAAAACAAATGAATCGACGAAGGGTTTCGAAGAGATGAAAGAGTTATATGTTGTACATATGTTGCGATAAACTATCAAATATGATGAGAGAATATTCGATCAATTATCGACAGTTCAGTACACTTTTTGTTTTGTTCTTTTCAATTGTCTCGATCGATGCACTCAATTCATGATATACTGATGACAGGGATATGGCGTGACTTAATCTGCTAATATTTAAATATGCAATTTCTAAAAATATAGCATTTTTTCTTTATGGGAGGTTACAAGATGACACATATGATTACTGTTATTAATCTACTAATATTTAGAAATAAAGTGATAAAGTTCACGACTCGAAATTTCAATAGAGAAACCGATTTCGCATTGCTTTAGAAAGAAATCATCGTTCTATCAGGCTGCTAAAGCAAAGTTTCATGCAAAATAATTGTATCTCAAGGATTTCAGTACATCCGATAGACAGAGTCCATATTCTTTACCATAGTAGTATGAATTGAAAAATCAAATGCAGCACTGTAAGTTTTCATAGCAGTGCAAATGTTCCTTCATTTATCAAATGAAGATATTAATCAAACAAGCATGATTAAATATAAATAATTAGTTATGCAATAACGAAAAATTCACTTATTATGTTCTTCTTCTGGTGTGATATCGAAAAATAAAATTCAAAATACTTGATATCTCTTCCGGACATAGTTCAGTAATACAGAATAAACTAACATGTTGTTTAATCAGCTAATATTTATCACTGATATCGTATCAAACACATTGGATAGTGACCTTCTCAATCTCAAGTTCAAATCTCATCAACATAATTTTTGAATTTCGATAATAAATTAGAATATGCACGCGGCTATACCATAGAGATCTCTATAAACTACAAAAACGAATGTGTTTTACATCTGAATTCCGTTACAAAAACCATGATGGTCCTATGGTTAGATATTTGAAAACATGTTTACCTACTGTTTTGTTACGATCGATTCTGTACACGACGTGTCGAATATACAAGGAACAAGAGAGACTCGCCTGTTATATACACACATGGCAATAGAGAAAATAGGAGCGTGACGGATTTTTTTCATTACTGATTAATAATTATAGATAAGAAAAAGAAACGAAATAAAAGAAAAACTAACGCTCGTCAAATACACGTGACAGAAGAGAAACATGCAAGCAAGGTTTTACCTTGCTCCGGGCATATAGAAAGAGAGAAAAAAGAAAAACAATTAGAGCTTAATGAAGCGAAACTTCTTCGTCAATACAATCCTTTCACTAAAAGTATAAGAAAAAAAATTTTGCTTCATTCTCACATTATATGAAGTCTAGTACAAATGCAATCAAAGACGGCAAAACTTTGTTGACCAGATTCTAGAACTTCTTTCTTTCTATCAATTGAGTATTTATGTTTGGTTATTTGATCAGGAGTCTGGTGCAAATAATTGTAATATGAAAGCTTGTTCGATACAAAAGAACCTCGGACTTCATTCAAACTTTCAGAGTTTGCTGTGTTTTCAAAGCTAATCATTTTGGTAATATAGAAGTTTACATTTCATACGAAAAATCAGAAAGATATGGTCAAAATACTGTAGACGCCTCTTTCAGACTAAGATGTAATTTCACCCTTACGATAATCATATCGCGTATTCATACGATTCTGTCGAGATTTTTATAGTAGATTTGATTAGTCCTGATGAAACCAGCTGAGACTATATGTACGCAGAAACTTTGTTTTGGACATATATAGAATCTCTTATTAACAAAGCAAAAAGTAGTGTGAAAAAATTTCTTCCATCGTACTCCACAAAATGGTATTCTTCTACTTGATGAAGTAAAGAGTTCGATAGAACAAAATTTGCTTTATCTAATAACATTATTTTCTTTGTATGTGAGCCGTATTCTGATGTCAAAACGTAGCTAGAAAAGAAAAAGCCACAAATTTTTATCAAATCTAGATTAGAAATCGACCAGCTCTAGCTCATAAGTTACGTTCTAATGAGCTGATGAACTGGTGAAACATGTCAGTTCTGATCAAAAGAATTGTTCGAACAGTTTCTCTGATCTGGACTGATCTATTTATTTCAACAGTTCTGTGTCTGCTTCTGAGTTGTCTGAAGAATTTTGTTCAGTTTTGGGAAGGGCATTTCCAGTAACAAAACAAAGATTTTTGACACTCCAAAGGACCGTTCTAATAAACGGAATAAAATTTTCTCCAATCGCTTAGTTCTCGAAACTGAACTATCGAAACAGATTAAGTCAGATCAAAGAACGTTTTCAACAGTTCCTCAGACCGAAAGTAGAACTGAACCTGCCGACCCCGAATCTCAACTGAAAGGAGACAATGTTTGCCATAATGGAAATCAATTCATTGCTCCTGCTGCATTGAATTACATAGGAGAAGAAAGTCCATAATCAGATAGATATTTCAGTGTTAAATTCAACGGGTTCAAATTAGAACAGATTGACTTAGGTATACACATAAAGTGCTACACTTGTTCCTACGACAAGCAGACTATTGGTTGGAAAAGTATTGAACTACAAATGAATAACTCTACTATATGATTTCAATGACATCATGTCAGAGCTTTAACTAAGATATATGTCGTCGTTCGAATGTGCATTAGTTTGTTTGTTGTATAGCAGTGCGTACTAATCCATTAGAGGTCCACTTGAGAATAGCCAGTCATTCTGTGATCTGAGTTTGCTATAAAAATGGCGGTAGGCAAAGATTTTCAGTGTGAGGCTAACAGTGGGTGTGAAAATAAATAAGTTTGGCGTGCTATGATAGTTCAGGTCTTTCTTAAGAGTCTCAATAGATGACTAAGATTTTATGTATATGTGTTCAAAATGTTTCAATATGAATCATAAGTAAGATATACACATTAGTCTGAAACATTTATTACAAATTCAAAGACATTTAGCAACTTAATATATCTGTATATTATTGGTGAGCCTAACAAGCATTATAGCGTTTTCATCTTCACTTAATGAATCTTTAGATGAGTTTGACGTTTATTGAATATAGTATCTGCTTGAAATGTTTCAAAAGAAAGAATTACAAACAAGATACATGATTCGATTCTATTGTGAGTAAATTCTATGAGAAGTGCATAATAATGATAGTCGATATTTTTTGGTTTTCAATGTGTGGATAGATACCAAGTTAATGTCTGTTTAGAGGTTTCAGAAGAAGATGGTATTGAGTCAAAGAAATATGTAAGATATTGAACTCTGGATTTGGAAAACAAACGGTTTTCGTTCAAGTGTGATATAAAGGAGAAGGTGAGAAAGCTCTTCATTTGACGTTAATCCTTACTCTTATCTTCACATTCATAGGTGCACATTTACGACCGCACACTCACACTTACTCTCACACCGACCCACTCGGCTTCATGAGATGAATGACATTCTCACTTGTCTATTGCGTTTTTTATCTAAAAAGTACTTGGCGTAGAAGCGATGTACGTGTTATGAACTGCATCCAGAATGATGCAGTTCATAAGAATCGATCTAACCAGAATTGTAAGCGCACTATTCTCTTCCACTGATCTGATTCTCTCCATCACTGTATATTCCGTTTCTGTTAGGATTTTTCATTTCCTTTTATCATTTCTTTAGATATATTCCAATCTTGTCTCTATTGATGTTCATTATCGATAGACTTTTCTATTTTCTTCTATGAATAGTTCTAAATCTAAGTATAATCACTAGCCTATACATAATTATTATTTCTATAATGTACGAAGGGCAAGCGAACTTAGTTTGATAAACATTAAGAGTGTCTGATTTTCATTCTATAAATAAACTTGTATGTACAACAACGCACTACTAAGTACTGAAATGGCATGCATTATACAAATCATTAGCTACATGTTTTGGTCACATAAGCAATCTCTATCAGGGTAGGATTCTTTTACATTTTTGTGTTGAAAGGTGACCTCTAGTTGATCACATACTTTGGAGCTCGTAGATAACTATGTCTGAAAAAAATTCAAGATTCACTTAAATTGGTCCATCTTCTCTTATTTAACATGATTCCTATTCTCAGCTTTTTCATCGAAGAGAAAGCTATATACATGACATGAGACAATATCCATACAGGAGAAGATATCGAGTCAACAATCTACATCTTGGATATAATCACATCATAGATCTACGTGGGTATCGATCACATAGTACAGTGTAAAATATCCTTAAATGATCAGCACTCTCAAAAAGAATAGTAAGCTTGATTGAACATATGATAAAAGATAGCGTGATACGAACTAAATAGAGTCTCCTGTGATAAATTTATGTTCAAGTAGATCAGCAATACATCAATAAAGCGATTAAAATAGGAAAGCGAATGGTGAGATGCCAATAGTTGGCCGAGTTGAGTCAAGTAGCATACAAGTCTTGTTCATTCGACACTTGAAAAAAGTATCGATAAAGATTTTTAAGTTTGGAAAATAATAGACGATTATTGTTTGCTATTGAAGACAAGAAAGTCGATCAATTATCGAATACGCATCATTTGCTATTCGAAAT